ATATTAAATATTATTAAAAATAATAATAACTGGCATATTTCCTGAAATGAATAAATGAAATTAAATGACCTTGTACACGCAGCCCAGCGAGGGTTGTTTTGTGCAGGTGACGAGATGAGTCCCGACACCGACCACGTCGATCTCGTTCTCCTGAAACAATCACATTCACATTCAGACCATCAGGAACAAAGAGTCCAGAAAACATCAGCGGCAACACAAAACAGCATTTACTCATCACCTTCTTGTTGAGCTCGACCATGCTTTGCTCTGAGATGTTATTGGTCCCGACGATGTTCAGTGAATGAAAAGCAGGGACGGAGAAACTGTGGAGAAGAAGCAAACTTTATCATTTCAAACGTGTGCGGACGTCCGGAGTAAAAATCTACGTTTTTAAACACATATGATATATGATATGATATATATGATGCACACATGCGTCATGGCACCTCACTCACTGCTCGCTGCAGAGTCTGAAGACACGACGGACGTCCACCGACTGCCTGCAGAGGTCGCCGCTGTCCAGACGAACTCCCACAGGCCTGTAGCCCAGTTCACACAGCGCCAAGGCCACGGCACAGAAGTTCAACAGGCCGCTACTGAAAGAGAAGACACAAGAGACGCACAAATTAAAAATGACAAAGAGAAAGACAGCAGGTAGTTCTACAAAATAAATATTTACTGCTGCTGTTTGAGATTGATTTAAAAAGGGGAATTATGTTGAATTATATTATTACATTTATTTATGTTTGAGTGATGTTATGAATAAATGTGTTGGAAAACAAAAAGTAGAGCAGGACCGATATGGATTTTTTAGGGGCTGATGTTGATACCAATATTAGGTGGTAAAACATTTTGATACTAATATCTCAGCAAATGTATTTGTTATGAATTCTAATTTATTAATCGGTCAATCGATAAATCGTCAGGGTTCAGTTGGGCAGAGAAAGTGGTGACACGACGCAGAACTTAAATATGATCATGTGACTCCTCTTTCTCACGTGGTTCTCTGAAAATGATCAAATCTTCAAAGTGGAACTTAATGAAAACTAGTGTTTATATCGTTCCTCTGAATTACCAGCCCACGCTGTAGCTGTCAATCACAGGGAGGAAGTTCTGAGGGTAGGCGATGGCGTAGGACAAAAACGCGGCCAACTCGCCCTCTCTGATCTTCCCGGGCGCTGCTCCGAGAAGCTCGCACACGCGGGTCAACCAGCCCTTTGTCAGAGAGATGACGTCCACCGGGTCAGGATCCCCGCTCGCCGCCACCAGGGTCTGAACCAGGAAGAAGACAAAGACTTCTATAGATACAAGTGGAGTCGCCCTCTTATGGTCATTACAGAGAAAACAGGTTTTAGGCATTGGCTTTACTTTCTCAGAGTCTACGTCCACTTTTACAAACAGTCTGAAGATAAAACACACTCACTTGTGGCCACACCTCCTCCAGGGAGGTGAAGGAGGTGACGTAGGAGTGAGCCATGGTCCCTGCGACGGGGATCCCGAACAGGAAACCAGCCTGAACGTTGCTGGTGAGATCAAACCCTGAAAATAAAAATAATCACGATCAGGACACATTCAGTGAAATGCAGCATGTGAATAAAGAAAATTTAATTGTTCTGTGTCTAAAGTCACAGCGTGTGTAGGTAGTTACATCAATCATCATCTAATAACTGACTGAACATGTTTGACCGGTTGCACAACATTCACCTCCGATGTACGTGTATCGTGAGGCGGTGAGTCCTCCGTCGGGCCCCTGAGCTCGTCTGAGGCCCATCTCCAGCAGCTTCCTCCGGGGGCCGGCGGCCAGGCGGAACCGGGCGGCGTTACTACAAACCAGGCTGACAACAGAGAAGAAACACCAGTGGTTTAATAAGTTCTTACACAGAGTCGAACAGACGAGTCCAGGCTGACTGATGATGGACGACACACACATGTAACCAACACTTTAAAAATCAATCAGCAGAGAATTCAAATAAAGGTAAGGTCCTCTTGTTATTTTTACACACTGGCGACATCTAGTAGCAGGAGGCATTATGTTTTTGGGTCCATCCCAAAAACATAATGCCTCGATGGAATCTTTGCCCTGCCTTCAAATGTCACAGTGACTTCATATTATTGTGAATATGTCAGGAAAACCCAGAGGGACTGAAACTGCTCTGATTGGCCGAAGGTGTTAACCACAGGGCGGCAAATCTGTTATCTCTAACATTTGGTTGATTCATTTTTGAATTTGTGAATTCTAGACGTGGTGCGAACAAGCTGTTTTTTCAGTTAGTCGACCAGAGGATAATCCATCGATTCAAGTTGTTCAGTAAAAGAAAAAAGCTGCAGCGTTCTTTCCGTGTCAGTTTGAGACCAGGTCTCAAGGAGGTAATCTCAAGGCCCCTGAAATATTCTCTGGGAAATCAGTGAAAATGTGAGAAAACGTCTCACAATGTTAACGAAAGATCTGTGTGTGTGTGTGTGTGTGTGTGTGTGTGTGTGTGTGTGTGTGTGTGTGTGTGTACCTGGCGTAGTTCACCAGACACAGTAAACTGGTCTCCAGCAGTTGAACCACAGCGAGCGGACCTGCCACCTCCATCAGTGGCACCTGCAGATGTTTCAGACGAGCAGCACAAGTTAGAAAACTCTGCCCCCCCCCCCGCCCCTCACGCCTGCGACCTTTGACCCCTCACTTCCACCCTGACCCCCTGCAGCTCACCCTGGCAAACACCACGGTGCCCTCTGGGACGGAGCGGAGCGTGACGCCCGAGCAGTCCAGGCTCCGCAGGAACTCGAAGAAGGCGGGATCGGTGGCCGGAGGCATGACCGAGCGCAGGAACTCCACATCTGGATCCATCCAAATAACAGAGTTAACACAGCAGCTGGATCGACGGCAGATGAGACTAGAGAGCGCGAATAAACATGGACGACAGAAGGGAGGCCAGAGCGTCTTGATCGCCCCCTGATGGCTGGCTGCAGAATATGTCATAGATTCTACCTCCTCCATGTCAGAGAACGGGACACGTACAAATAGAAACACTTCTCAAAGACAGTTTCTGTATTTTTACGAAGTTCTTTTGACGGTGATTGGTCAGATATGTACCCTGGACAGATGGGCGGAAGTGGAGACACGTCGTCCATCTTCATTCACAGTGTGACCTGAACAGAGGGGATCCTTCATCCTTAAACTCACCACACATGTGCTCTTACACAAGAACATGTGACCTTCATGTGTCCTCTCTCTCTCACATGTCCCCCCCCCCCC